AAGGGAGCAATTTTATTTATTTCTTTATTTGATTTATACCCTGCCTATCTGGCCCACCGGGCCACAGAATTTTGAAATTCTGTGTGAGAAAAAAAGCTTGGAAGTACTGAGGTATGTCTGTAAACAGTCTCTTTCTGGATCTCAGGTGTAAAGGGAAATGAAACTGGGCTGGCAGGCAGAGGAGGGACATCTCTGCTTCTTCCTGCCCTCGGCAACATCCTCTCCAGCCCCTGACAATTCTACACAGAGAATTCTGGTTGAATGTCTTGTGATGCAGAGACAAATCTTCTATGAGCAGAGCCCTTCTTTTTTAGCAGATGGCAGATTCTGGATCCAGCTTTATGACTAGATATGTACTATAGTATAATTTTGGGAAACATGGGGCTAGAGATGGGCATGAACCAGTTCGTACCAGTTCGTCAAGGTAGCAGCACAGGTGCAACTGCTCCCCTTCCTGTCCCTTCAGCCGATCAGCCACTCACCAGGCCCAGCTTGCTTGCTTTTTCCACCTCCTCGGCGAATCTCCCAGTCATGAGCAAGAGCACAGACTTCTCTGCCCCGCCCTTTTGCTTGAGCCAAGAGGGCGGGGCAGAGAAGCCTGAGCTCCTGCCGGGACTGGGAGATTCGCCGTGGAGGTGAAAAAAGCAAGCAAGCTGGGCCTGGTGAGTGGCTGATGGGCTGAAGGGACAGGGAGGGGAGCAGTAGCACCTGTGCTGCACCAGTTCATGCCCATCTCTTTATGTCAATAAAGCCCTTGATAAGCTGGAGTACAGTTCCTATGGTCTCTCAAACTATGCTTGTCGTGCCTGGAGTTAATGGGAGTTGTATTTCAGGAAAATCCTTTGAGCCCTGTTTTCCACCCACAGTATTTCAGTATTTGCCACTAGCATTTGCAGAAGAGATTTTAAAGAATTTTTCACCCTTCTATGTACCAGCTGTGCAAATCAGCCATGTCTTCATACATATTCTATTTTATTTTATTTATTAAGTTCTTGCTACTTTTCTTTTGCTTTATTTTATTTTATGACAAGTGCCATTGGTCTGCCTTTTTGTTAGCTATTGTCCAGGGCAGGATGATGGGAATATTATTTTATTCTTATCTTATGTAATTGTCAGGGTATTATGTAAACTGCCCCAATTAATGTTCTCACTAAGTCGAATGTTAATTTATTTAACATGAATGTGAAATAATATTATGAATGTTAATGTATTATTTTATTTATTTAAATAAGTAAAATCTTCACTTGTGTAGGATATCAGAGTATGTATGGTCTATTTTAACAGAAATGACCTCCCTGGAAAAAGGCAAGACATGGATTTAGTGTCACTTTCACAAGCATTGCTAGCTCTTATGCAAGCCCAATGTGCAACAGATCTTCTTTCTTACCTCCAGATGTCTCTTCATCTCTCCCAAGATTGCCTTTGCCTCATAGACATCGTTAGTGGCCATCAATTTGCGCTTCATGATTGCAAGGGGCACGTCGGGGCTGGGAGTGAGGTCGTAGTGACTGACTGGAGGCAATGAAATGGGGGCACTAGAAGCTTTACTTGTGCCCTGGAACTGGACCACTTTCATATGAGCGATGGACTGGAAAGAGTGGAAATAAAGTAACAAGGAAAATAACTTATTCAAGAGACACCTGTATTTCCTAAAAGTTGGTTGGTCCTCCCTTCTGTTTTATTTTTGCTCTGGGAAGAAATAGAGCAGACGAGCCATGGCTTACTGGTAGAACACAGACTTTGGATTCAGGTTCAGTTCTCAATATCTCTTAAACAGGTTTGGAGAAGACTCCTGCCTAAAGCCCTGGACATCTATTGCTAGTAACTGCTGACAGCACAGATAGACCAAGGATCTGGTTCGGGAGGACACCTCCTGATGAAGGAAGGAAAAGTGTCCAAGGCTGCTGGGAGGACACCTCCTGAGTTAGGATGAAGGAAGGAAAAGTGTCCAAGGCTGCTTGGTGAACTTTGTGAATGAATGAAAGAAAGCATGCTTTAAAAAACAACCCTCTTTCCTTCTTATGAAAAAAAAAATCATGTTTTTGGACTGCAGCTCATGCTTTAAAAAACAGCCCTCTTTCCTTCTTATGAAAAAAAAATCATGTTTTTGGACTGCAGCTGAGTTTTCCAAGCTCTGAAAAGGACAACAAATGGCTGAACTCCTGTTGCTTAGTGTAATTAAGTTACACTAGAGTAGACCCACTGAATCAGTGGGGATTCAGTCAGTCAACACCTCTGAGTTCCATTGGCTCAGTGGGTCCACTCTAGTGTGACTTACTACGCAACAGGATTTCAGCCATTATTTGACACCCAATTGCTAATTCCAACTAGAGTAGACCTGCTGTATCGGTAAGATTTCTGGAAGTGTTGACGGACAATTCAGCAATTCACCAAACACTGCTCAAGCTCCTTTTAAAGCATGGGCAGGTGACCTCCAGAGGCCTACAGGGAGCACACATGCCTATCCTTGATGCAGGAGGGTTGCACCTTCTTCCATCCTTAGATTCCGCCCCCCTTATAAAAACGAGGGGTATAATTGAAGTAATACCCCTGCATCTTCTAGCAGCCCCACTTTTTTTAATGTTTATTTTGGGGGTGTGCACAGCAAAGAGAGATGCTGTGGGTACCTTCAAACATGGCTAAATTGTCCCCCACGCGCTGTAGAAGGCACATGGGGACTTTGAGCGCCAATTTCCCCCTGCAAAAATTGAAGTGTTGGAGATACAGGGTTGCCAGGCCACACATTACCCGTGTTTTAAAGAAACAGACCTAAAAAGAAGTATAGTTTAAATTGTTTTTTTAAATCACTATTTCTGGTGTCATCACTGTTGAATTTGGGACTGGGGAAACCTAAACTCAGGCACAAATGGAAACAAAAGCAGAAAAATAAACTAAATACACACTTACAACTTATTAGTACATAAAAAGAAGTGGCCTCCAGAGAGCTAAACATAATTCAGCAGAAACTGGACTTAATTGTTCAAGAGGCGAACCAGCAGAGGCACAACAGAAAAGCAACCAACTTACGTTCCCCATATAGACAGCTTCAGAGGCTGCAGCAGCGAAAAAAGCCCTTTCTACCAAACATCTCTCCAAAAGTAAAGGAATTAAAGAAGGGACTTCCTAGAAGATCTTAAAACCTGGCCAGGTATATATAGGAGAATCGGATTTTTTTCAGATCATTTTGTCCTAAGTCGTGTTTAGAACTTTATAGGGTACCAATTACCCTTAGTGAGTAATCTGATTTGTGCCTGGAAACAAACCTGACTGCCAGCAAACTCACCACAAGAGAGGAGTTCTATGCTGCCCATAATCAACCCTCAGTTAACCATCCGGCCACAGCATTTTCGACCAGATGGAGTTTCCAAACACTTTTCAAAGGCAGCTTTGGAAACAGTCTCAAACCGAATCTCTGTCCAAGGCAATCACTGTATTATCTTTCCACGGTGTATCCTTTTTACATTGGTTTTTAAAAAGAGGAACCAGACAATGATCCAAAAGAAGCTGACCTCTGCACAGAGGTCAGTTACTCACTAAGTTTCCATACTGCATCACATGGCTGGTGTTGGTATGTTTCTTTACCAAGACAAACTGCTTGTGGAGCGTTTCTTTTTTCAGATCCTCCTGCGAGCGAAAGGAAACAGAGAAGCAACCTTGATTGTGGTTAAGCCATAGGTGTACAGCGGCTGAAGCACATCTACTCATGTGAGGAGAACAAGATACGTACATGAAAAGTTGCTTCTGTACCAGTAAAGATAAGCTAGTAAAAGAGGCAATGGCTGACAGGATACCTAACAGACAGCATGTGACATTGGAGAACTTGAGGTTGAAGTGATGCATTGACAGAAACTCGTCATGCATCATTTGTTCTGTGGGGAAAGACCAGTTAGGAAGATTGCAATGATGGGTCATGAAGAGCATGTCTGTGCTATATAAAACTGCTTGTTTTGGATACATGGAGTCACCACTTGCTCCGCAAGTAACTACATGTGTGGGATACGTTGTGCCACTCACAATGGGCACTGTATGCAAAGTGGCAACCTTGAAACTTCCCAGCTTCACCTATTGAGCTGCAAGAAGCCGCATGAATATAGAGCCTGCCAATTCCACTCACCACCAAACACTATTTGCATCCAAAATAAAGACACGGTATAGTGTTCTTCCCAAATTCAGGCAAAAAAAAAAGATAAGAAGTGGGTTCCATGCCATGCTATTTTAAATCTCTCAATGATAGCATTTTGGAAAGAATTTTCCACATATCATTTACCAGAAATGGGGATCCTTAGCCCCTGGAGCTCATTCCAGTCCTCCTGGAGTGTGAAACCAGCCCACGTGGCCCTTCCCCCAGGGGTGCCATCCTTCAGTAGTTCCCCGTTTTTGTACGGCTCTTCCCCACCTGAAAAACCTCTCCTGTGGTTTTGCTACTGGTGGCAGGAGCTTTAAATGAAAATAGGCTAGTACAGTGGTGCCTCGCTTTATGATTGCTCTGCATTATGACGAATCCGCTTTATGACGATCTTTTTGCGATTGCAAAATGATGGTCTAAATGGAGGAATTTCGCTTTGTGATGATCGGTTCCCTGCTTCGGGAACTGATTCTTCGCAAAACGATGTTTTTCTAACAGCTGATTGGTGGTTTCAAAATGGCTGCCAGATAATTAAAATGGCTCCCTGCTGTGTTTAGAGACGGATTCCTCACTATACAGGCAGCAAAAACGGCCGCCATATGGAGGATCTTCACTGGACGGTGAGTTTTTACCCCATTGGAACGGATATCATTGCGTTTCAATGGGGTTTTATTATTTCGCTTTACGATGTTTTCGCTTAACGGCAATTTTCCTGGAACGGATTATCATCATTAAGTGAGGCACCAGTGTACTTTTGGTCTCACCCACCAATGGAATGCAGCCGCCAAAAATTACTGTGAATTTGGGCCCTCGGGCATTGCAGTATGGTGCAGTTCTTAGCACCTTTGGTGAATGGTTCAAAGTTGGGAAGAATTTCTTCTTGGATTACACCTTCCCGAATCCCCAGCCTGGCTGGGGATCTTGGGACTTTCACTTAAAAATGCTTTTTCCAGCTCTACTACACATGCACTGAGCTGTTTATTGATTTTTTTCCTAAAAGGGGGCAAAACCCTGATAAATACTTCGGGCCCCTAAAATTTGAGTAGAGAAGCAAATGGCGCTTTCAGTGATATTTCAGTTGTCCAAACCCAGACTGAAAGAAAAGATAGGCCTTAACAGAGCAGGACCAGATTGCTCTGTTAAATTAAAAGACATGGCTACTCACTGCATCAGAATCTTCCATCCAACTGACACTGTACAAGTCTCCAAGGTAAGTTTGTCTCTTGTCATCAAAGTAACAGGCATATGATGACTCGTCGGAATTGGCAGCGGTCGTGGCGTAAGCTGTGGGGCAAATAAAAAGACCACTTTTCATTTGCTCCCGATGGTAGTGCCCAATGGCTGGATGGGCTCATGTACAACCCAGTTAAAACACCACTTTTCATTTGCTCCCAATGGTAGTGCCCAGTGGCTGGATGGGCTCATGTACAACCCAGTTCAGAAGTTTTTGATCCTGGCATAGTTCAGCTTGCTCTCAGAAACTACAAAGAGCTCCTGTTTGTCTCCCCAGGGGACCACTTTTGTTAATAAAGATACTAGAGGCATCCTTACACATATGCTGTAATTCAAACAACTGGGGAAAGAGGATTCGGGTCTCTAGCATTATGAGTGGTCTTTTAGACCAGATGGGCGTCAGACAACTGGGGAAAGAGGACTCTGGTCTCTAGCATTATAAATCGATCCAGCACCATATGCTTCAATCTACCATTTCCCCCAAAATAAGACAGGGTGATCCGGCACCATTTGCTTCAATCTACCGTTTCCCCGAAAATAAGACAGAGTCTTATATTAATTTTTGCTCAAAAATGCATTAAGGCTTATTTTCAGGGATTTTTTTTCATGTACAACAATCTATGTCTATTCACATAGAGTCATGTCATCTTCTGGTTGCTGCACAGTGGTGGAGGGCAGGGTTTCACTTAACAGGGGCTTATTTTGGGGGTAGGGCTTATATTACGAGCATCCTGAAAAACCATACCAGGGCTTATTTTCAGGTTAGGTCTTATTTTCGGGGAAACAGGGTAGACCACTGGATGCATATGAAAACTTCCTTTAATTAAAAACAAGGACAGACAAAAAATACAGAAAAAAAACAGGTAGGTCTTGATATGTCACTGTGGGCATGGATGACTTGTCTGACTATCAACCTGTTTCAGGTGTCATTTTAATTTTAACTAGAGCTCCTATTTAAATATTTAAGACTAGACTCAATTACCACCCCCAAGAACAGTAGACTCAATGAATCAATGGAACGTCTACAACGGCAAACTGAACAAGCCCAATTCATTCTATGAGTCTAGTCTGTTTATCTCAGTGGTTATAAACCTTTCCAGTTGTTTGGTATTCATGGATAGGATAACAAACCCATGAAGGAGTAGCAAGAGCGAGCAGGCTAGTCCCACCCCTCAGGTGCTGATGTATGTGCCAACCATGTTCCCCCAAGCAACATGCAGTTAGTAGCAGCCTTACAGGAGTCTATGGGAATGCAGAAGATTCCCTCTCTGTACACATACCACTACCTTTATTGTTAACCATAGGGTACAACCAACATGTGTAATAGCATTTGGAGGCAGGATAAGCTAATACGTTTGACAACTACCTAGCCCATCCAGGACCCACATGTATAGAATCTCTCTATGGAGGACTGTGTTGCTGAGTAGGTCCCTCAAATGTCAGAGTGTGTTACCAAGGGATAGCTAACACTGAAGAGAGCACTTTTTGTCGGATGTTCAAGTCCTTCAAATGTCAGAGTGGGTTACCAAGGGATGGCTTGGTCAGTGTGCAGTCCTGTCTGAAGAGAGCACTTTTTGTCGGATGTTCATCTCAGTTTCAAGTGCTACTCTTAGGAATTCTTTCAGGTTAGCCTCTCCCAACCTACCACCATCCAGATGTTTCTGGCTATAGCTTCTACTAGCCCTTTCAGCACAGCTAGTGGTCAGGATGATAGGAACTGCAGCCCTAAACATCTGCAGGGCAGTAGATTCAGGAAGACTACCCTGTGTTCTGAAAGATGAGGTGAGACCTCTCCAACACACAACTTCTGAAACAGCAGTAATAGCCTACGACTGCAAGCACCGGGCAGGATCAATCTCTGGCAGAAATCTAGAAAGGGGAGGAAAGGGCTTGTATTCCTGAAAATAAATCACTCAGGAATACTGACCATGAATCCCTGCTGGCTTATACTGAAAATAGGTTCTCTTCATTCCACAGATTAAAAAGAAAACACTGAACAAATCTCTGCTATCAGTATTTTGTGGCTGATAAGTTAAACTTGCAATAAATTCAGTCATGTTAGTAGTATTTACATTCTCGTGACTACAGACTTGATAACAACCACTAATGCTTGATAAGACTCCAGATCAAAGGGATGACTGACCACTTACCGTTTATGTTATCTGGTAGGTGTTCCATCATTGATCCAGATTCACATGCCTCAATGTAAAACACCAGCTGCAATTTATGTTAGACACTCGTGAGACACTTTAGATAAGGTTAGATCAAGGTGTGGCATAGCCTAGGCTTTCTCCTAAAGCTCCTTTCCCAAGCTATCATCAAATCAATTCGGCCTTGCACTCTGCTCACTCACTAACGAATCCTTACTTTTCATCTCTGCATTACTCTTGCCTATCACACTCTTAAGCTTTTCATGCAAATTCTGAAATTTGTTCTGGGAACAAATTCATTTGGCTGAATTAAATTAAACTTAAATGAACACCAAACGTGGTGTGATGAAATGGATTTTAAAGAGCATGCTAGTTCTGGTTTTCTGTCTTCTAAACTGGTCTTTTGATTATACATTGTGGGAGCCAGTTTCTCTGGAAAAGTGAATAGAAATGGTACACATTAATGAATCATTCTTCCTGCTGCTCTGTTCCTTCTACACTTCTTGCTCAGGATGGGAAATGACACTTGAAAGCAACAGCCAAAGGGGGGAAAATACTTTTGGCAAACACATTCAATGGATTGTTTTAAGAAAACTGGTTCCTTTAAAGGGGTTCTTACGAGTTGTTTGCACTTCTGCAAACCACTTGATCCCTGTTCAAATGCTGGTATCCTCCGCTTGTGTGTGGAGATTATTCTGTCTACATAAACAGCAGTGTTGTGTGTGTGTGTGTGCATGTGTGCATGCATGTACATGTATAAAATATACATCTTTCCCCCTAAACCCCTATACGTATGTGTTGAACTATCATTTTACCTTCTGGTACTTTTTGTGATGGTACATATACTGGATGGTCTTTTTTAAGTCTTGCACGTTGAGCTGTAAAACAAAAAATAATGCCTATTCACGTCCTATCACCATCCAATAAAATAATGAGAAACACATAGATAACAACACAGAAAACAAGCCAAAGCTCTTCAACAATCAAAGCCTTATCAGTCATCCATACAATAGTCTTGTAAAATAGGCCATCATTAGAATTTTCCCACCAAACTGCAGACTGGGGGGAAGGCCACAAATTACAGACAGAGATTTAATGGTCTGTAATTTAATTTAATGGTCGAAACAGAAGACATAGATAGTAAGAGAATACTCTCATGTTTCTTAATTATGGCTGTACTTAAGCTAGCTGGATAGCTCAGTCTAGAGGTCTGGCCGTGGAGCCAGAAGCTGGGAGTTCGATTCCCCCACTGTGCCTTCTGGGAAAAGAGCCAGACTATATGGCCTCGAATAAGCTGCACAGTCCCAGGGCGCTCCTAGAAGAAGGGAATGGTAAAGCCCTTCCGAGTATTCCCTACCTAGAAAACCCCGGAAAGGCTCATCATAAGTCACAACTGTGTATGCATACAGACACCCACACCTATGGAAGTATTCATCCATATATTTTGATTAGCATCCAAAGGAAAGGTGGACTATTGTAGTAGGCAATGTTCCAAAAGCACAAGAGTTACTGACATTCACTGCATAAGGTACAGTATACAAGGAAGGTACTTTATATACCTATTTTTATGCAGCTCTCTAAACTGAACAACCTACTTGTATTCCACACACCATCATTTCATACTAAGGTTTTTGAATCAATGAAAAGCATTGTACTTTTAGCTGACTACAGATTTCTTTCTCCAGAGTGACAGTGTCTTACTTCACATAGTATGAAGCACAATCTTGTACAACTTTTCATTATATAGCATTTTTTCTTTCAGCTTTTAATAATCCACCCTGAGACCCTCTGACACTGGGTGACTTTGAAATACAACACAAGCAAACCAAAACTAAGACTGAACCATAAAAAAGTTATGCAGAGTCAGAGAGTCGCATTTTTGAGACTACACATTTCAGTCATTAAAAATGTAGAAATCTATGTTCTGATCTAACAAGATTTAAGGCAGAAGGACATGCCTCTGAGCCACAGTCGTTAGAGAACCACTCTGGGTCCAAGTAGAAAACATTGGGAATAAACAAACCCAATTATAAAGGCAGCTTAAATGCATTATGTGTTGCAGAAGGACAAGAAATTTAATTTAGGACTGTATATCTTTTTCTTAGAACTTGAGTAGTTTCATCTCCTACTTACATCATCTGATGGAAAAGCCAGAAGCCCAGGGGCACCATGATCAGTGAAGTAGACAAATACGTGATCCTTGGGACCACTGTGGGGAAAAAGAAAGAGGGGAAACAAATTGGCTTTTGTTTCCTTATTAACTGCTCTAAACCACTGGTTCTTAACCTTCGTTACTCGGATATTCTTATTAAGACTGCTCTAAACTATACTGGAAAGTAAAAATCTTCATATGCATTCTGTCCTCTTTCTCCTTACCTTTTTAGTACTTTCCCTGATCCTTTATTCTTTACTGCTTCAGCATCCCCTCTCAACACAGCAAGGAAGTTCTCAGGTGTAACATCCTATAGATAGGCAGAAAACTGGAAAGTGAAAATCTTTATATGCATTCTGTCCTCTTTCTCCTTACCTTTTTAGTACCTTCCCTGATCCTTTATTCTTTACTGCTTCAGCATCCCCTCTCAGCACAGCAAGGAAGTTCTCAGGTGTAACATCCTACAGATAGGCAGAAATTTAAAGTTGTAACACGGCAATCATGTACCTTTTGTGGCAATTATCAAATGGAGCAGTGGCTTTCAGGGCATGTTGTAGGGAACCCTGGAAGCCTAAGAATACAAGAAAAATCGCATTGGTCTAGTCCATAAGTTCCCCAACCTTGGGTCACCAGATGTTCTTGGGCTACAATTCCCAGAAGTCCTGGCCAGCACAGCTAGTGGTGAAGTCTTCTGGGAATTTTAGACCAAGAACATCTGGGGCCCCAAGGTTAGGAACCACTGGACTAGTCCGACATTCTGTTCACAACACGGCTAACTACATGCAACAGCACCTTGTTGTTTATGCAATGGAGCTTCTAGGCTACAATAGGGTTCATGCTGGGGTGGGGTGTGATGAAAATCTAACTTGTGTCAATCCTGATCCACTTGAATACATGGTTTACACATTTAATTCAAAAATAATTTAGACTGGCTACACACTCAGCAAAACCACAACTGAAAATTTTTAGAGCACATCTAACCACTTTTCCCAACCAAAAACTTTCAGGAAAAAATGTAGTATTCAAAGCCAACAATATTCCAGGGTTATAGATCCAATAAATCTAAGTCTTACCTCTTTTACATAGTCCTTTAATACTCCTTTGTACACATCTGTGCCATTGGGTCGATTGATTATGATACCTGGGGTAGGATTCCTAGAAGTGGGGGGAAAAGACATGAACATCAGAAGTGTCAAAAAGTTGATGAATATGTTCACATATGAAGGATCATAAGATCAGTAGAACTGAACCACTACTGTATAGCTGAGTTTATTTACCCTTCAAAGTGCGAAAAATAACTGGGTTGATAAGTTAAGCACACAGGGTAATTTATTTGTTTATTAAGTTCCGTGTACAGCAGGAATGAGATACCTCCTTCAGTGAGAGTCAGAGGCAATTTCTGGTAAGTTCCCAAACGTTACACTCCTGTGATGGGTGTAGTCAAAATGCCAACATACTTTACTGTTAGTTATGGAACCACAATGACACAGCCTTCTTCTCCACTACATTATAATTTCAGCTTGTATACTATTATCTGAAGTACACCAGGGGATCAGACTGCGACCCATAAGGGCCAGTTTCAGTTCCGGGTCCCGGAGCTATTCTATAAAGCTGTCATAAAAACAAACATATTGAAATAAAGCCCCAGTATCTATTCTACCTTCTCCACAATACTTCTATGTTTCCCATGTACTTAAGCGGCTTACAACACAACATGCACAAAGAATATCAGAATTACAACATGACCAATCAACTGAATTATTGAAATCAGGGATTTCTGGGTGAAAATGTTATTCTAAATATTATTTTAGCTGAAGTTTCTGTGTTCTGGCCAAAACTGATTACTTACTCTTCGTCATAGGCAATGTCATCGTACATCATAACAACTATCTGTTCATCTGGAATGCCATTCCGGTGTACAATCTGGTAAGCATGACATGCATCAGCCTGAAAAAAAATAGGACATTTTTCTTTACTGGCTCCTTTTAAACAAGTTCTGGGCACCAAAGGAGAAGTCATTGTAAGGGATTTTGCATAAGGAGTCTTCAAGGGCAACCCGCTCCTTTCATGCAAAGAAGTCTCCAAACACTCCAGTAAAAAACAGCAACAGACAGGACTGCACACTGACCACTTTTTTTAATTCAAATGCCTACAGCTTTCTAAGTAGCTTATAACCAGTTTGCCGCTATGCTTGCACAAAAGCTAATCACATGCTCAAAATGACCACATGACGCTAACAACTGCACATCTGCACTGTTTTTCCATGCTTTTGGTTTTGTGTCACTTCCTGGAGAAGCTGTTCAACCTCCCAGTTGCTCCTTTGAGAAGACTCTAGCAAAAATGGAGTCACCAAGAAAATACAGAGAGGTATGAGCCTGCTTTAGAGAATCCTACAATTTACAGAAGTACAAATATGAATCAGGAGGGGGCACTAATGGGCTAACTCTATTAATATATCCAAATGATGACTGGCATATTCAGTGTGTTGAATTTCTAGGAGCTGGAAAACATAGGCGAGCGAAGATTGTAAGAAAGGCAAAGGGTGGCAGGCACACTGAATAGGAACAATCCAGATTCTCATGCTCCCAGTAGAATTTAAGCTCCAGCTGGCTCCTTGCCCATTCGCTGCAGGAGCCATAAATTATCCTTTAGTGCAGCTCACCACCGGTAGAAATGGAAAGCATAAACACTCGGCTGGCCCAGTCCTGAGAATTCCCCAGACATAGGTTTAAATGAGTTGTTGTGGGTAACAACCTGAAGCTAAATGTGCATGAAATGGCAGTGTGGAACAAAGCAGCAAATGGGGGCAAAGAGGTCAATTCAAGGACAACTATCATGTATTTATATATTGTCAAACTCTTATTTTATTTTTTATTTATTCGATTTATATCCCGCCCATCTGGTATATTCTACCACTCTGGGTGGCTTATATTTTGTTGTTTCCCCTTTGGGAGGGGCAAAAAAACCCTAAGTACCTATCAAATAAACACTGGTTGCAAGTCGGCCGAAAGGCAAATTTAAGATGTCATCAGCTAGAATCAGAGGTCTTTTCATTCCTATAACTGTACTTTCAAAAGATCCCTGTATTGTACCAAGGCTAAGCTGTGCCATAAAGAGATGGGAGTAAGGGAGATAGCACACAGAAGGATAATTCACATGATCGATTCTACGTGGTCAAAACATTCTGAACAACTACTCAGTAGATTATATCAAAAAAGAATGCTTTAAGACTTCAGCAAACAGACCCTGTTGGATGTCATCCAGCATTACTAGGAAGTATTTTCATCTCCCTGACTAGCATAGTAACAGGCAAAAACAACATGATCTCAGGGTTCACATTGCACAACACACTTTAAGGAATGACTTTTCAAAAGTATTTCACAGTTAAATAAACAAAGCTTTCTACAGTACATCCACCACAGTATATACCAATAGCCTCTTTAAAAGATTGCAAATTTGATGTCTAAAGAAACCTATGGCTGGCACTGTTTGTTTAGCTAGCAATACTGAGGAGAGAGGAACCTCAACAATCAGAAAATAACTGCTGAATGATGAGATCATGGATTTCTATGAAAATTCTGCCCTTGTTTCTTCTCCTCATTTTCTCCCCTATTTGCATGCATTTGGACTGCAAAGTTTCTCCATAGTGGTTCCCTCTGTATGGAACATCTCATACAAATCCTCCCAGGGTGGATAAAAATTAATTTAAAAAAAATCCAATTGATGTAAACATTTTTCCCCCTTAAATCATCAAAAATCTAATTTTCAAAATTTAAATCACAATTTAAACCAATTTGATTTTTAAAAGATCGTTTAATTTAAAATCAAATCCACCCTGAAACCTCCATGATTATTTTTAAAGAAGTCTCTTTAAACCTGTGGCTGCTTTTAACTGTATTTCAATCGCTTTGGCTGTTCTTTTGGCATCTGTTTAAATATTCTAATTAACAGTGTTTTTAGTTTTCTGTTCTAAAGTTTTATTCTGTGGATCATCTTGGGGAATTGCCATTTAGTTTTCTGCTGATAAGTTATCGCTTACCCAATTATAAAGGCAAACAATACTGGTGCAAAATAAAAACAGTGTCTCATTAGCCAAATTAGTGCAGCTTTAACTAGTATAGTATTATATTTCTGTGGAAAATGATCCTCTCACAGTTCAAGCCCAGAAGAAATTGAGATGAGTAATTCTGCAAGATCTTAGATCCTGTAGAGGCAGGCTTCCACTATAATCTTTCTGATGCAAGCTTCCTTCACATGACTAACTTTCCTATAGTAGTCCTTACTTCCAGCATTTCACATTGCCTTCTCTCATGCTTATTTCTTAATACATTTTTCTCTCCTTGACCCAAATTGCTTGCAGTCAGGCTTAAATGTCAGAGTGGTGAGTGCCTAAAAATTTCCACATACACTAGTTCTGTTTGGTCTGTCTTGTTTCTCCCTTACAGGTAGATCAGCAAAGACATGTGAGAAAGGAATTTCCTGGAGGGGAATTCCTGGTGAACGCTGGCAGTAAAAAAATAAATAAATAGATATAAATAAAATCGGGGGCGGGGGGAGAAAGTGTATTCCTCATTCTTGTTTTAGGGCTAATCGATTTAATCAATAAATGGCTCCATTTATTCTGGTTTTAAGTTACATACCCAGATAAACGTACGGGGATCCAAAATTCAGTAATAACATCCCCAGCAGGTACCAACTAATCATCGTGCAGAGAATATTCAAACTTATCATAACAGAACACTGTCCTTTTCATCACTGACTCCCCCTTTGGGCTATGGAATATACCTTCCCCAAAGCTGGAATGGTGCCTGTGCATATGAGAGCCAGCCTCTCATCCGTGAAGAAATCATTCAACCAGATTCAACACAAGGACCTCCTCCTTTCAGTCAGTCACTAAGTGGGTTTCTGCTCAAGGCATGCTTACCTGGTGCCTGTAGTTATACCAGCCATTTGAACCAGCAACAATGACAACCCAATGCTTGCCTCCATCCTCTGGGTCTTCCAGGGGAAGGGCCCCGATCCCCAGGATACAGCTGATCACTATCACCGCCTTCAAAGCCATTCTCTTTGCTCAAGAACTACAGAAACTGAGACATGAGTAAAAAGACGTCAAAGAAAAAGTAACAGAGCTGTAATAATATTATCTGTTTGTTATATTGACTTACGTAACACCCCATTGGTGCCAGAGTATTATCCTGGGTGGCTTACCAGCAGTTAAAACATACTACACAGAATTAAATACAGCACAAACAGCAATGACATCGTCTAGAAACTTAAACAAGGGCACAACCAATATTCAGAGTGAGGCAGAACTGCAAAGGGAGAAGGATGTAACACAAAAACACTGCAGGGTCAATTCAGCGGGCGGGAAATCTGACAAAGCAAATAAGTGTGCAGTATTCTTGAATAATGGCAAACATTTTAAAAAAGCAGGGAGGGGAAGAAGTGAAGTCGTATGGGATAGAAACCAACAAGGACATCCTTTTATGTATTCTCCAGCTCATGTTAATGCAACGTATTTGTGTACAATACAGTACTGTCAAAACAGAAAAGTAGCAGCCATCTCCTTTGGTAACCGCTCGTGATTCTATGTGATTCTGAACTTAAGGGGATACTCTGGGAGAATCGGTTAATCAGGATTAAATAAAAAACAGTCTTGGAGCATATGTTGCCAATTCAGCCATCCATCTGCAATTATCTCACATATTTTTAAAATCCCTCCCTCCCCCACCCTTTCAGGGAACCAACATTTATAGCTGATAGTTGTTGTAGGTTTTTGGGGGGCTGTTTGGGCGTGTTCTTAAAGTTTTTCTTCCTAATGTTTTGCCAGTCTCTGTGGTCGGCGTCTTCAGAGGACAGGAGTCAGAACTCTGTCTGTGCTCAAGAATACAGTACATTTATAGCTGACTTGATCATTTCTAAAAGTATCTGATTATTGGAACAGATTCTGTGATGCTTGCTCAGTTTGTATTAAGTGGTGGCCCCATGGAAGCCAAGCTACCATTAGAGCCATGTTCCTATCTTAGGCCCCCAACAACAAAAAGCATATTGGGCTTCCTAAATATATATACATACAAGCTGATGCAGCCTTGGGCATGCTGCACAGTCTCTAAGCACCCCAAGGAGAAGGGAACTATAAATCACTTCTGCGTCCTAAGTCCTTTATAATTAGGAAACGTTGGAAACAGTTGATATAAGCCAGAATCAATTTGACAGCACATTTATTAGTATTAGGAATCTGGTTATGCCTTTTATCAGTAGAGCACAAGGCAGAAAAACAGGAACATAAAGCAATTTAGCACAGTTTCAGCAAACCACCCTTGGGACACACAGTCTAGCCCTTTCTGTAGCAAAAATAATTCTAGAGGCATCTGAATAAGACAGAAGTTCACTCACAGTTATCAGCTGTAACAAAAACAGAAGTTAAAATGCTTGCTTCTTGAAAGATGGTTGGAGAAGAAGAGATAAACAGCAAAAGAACTAAATACAGACATGAAGAATGGGTTGGCTCAACCGCAAGACGCAAGAAAAACTCTAACAATCAAATTAGTGGCAAGTACTGTAGCATCACCAATAGACATGACCCCTCCCACTGACATTCAGTGTTAAGGCATGCAAGATCAGTTTTCCCAGCATAGCATGTTTTAGAATACATGAGGATAACTCTTTCTGCTGTTTAATATGTAAGGGGGAAGAGCAGCAGAATAAGAAAGCTATCCTTTAGTCTGGCATCGGCTACCAAGGAACTCCATGGTCCACACTGCTTCAAAACAATAGTAACACTTAATAACCCTTCCCTCGGCTCACCTCTTGAATGAAGCAATAGTTATCAAAGTGATGATAACGATGGTCACCTCTTCCCTCCGTAAGAGACCATTTTAGTAGTGGGTTGATCCAGTCTACCTTAGAGTTATGGAAGGAAGTCTGTGCTCTACTGAAGCGGTCTTTTTTGAAAGTCAATTAGTTGGGCTTACATTTGAACAGAACACTATTAGGGCTGCACCACAAGTCACAGCTCAGCTTGAGCTAACAGGGGCCCCATAATCTACTACAGTGGCCCTCTGTGATGAGCAAGAAAGAAGGTGGCTATGCTCCACTAGGTTGCTGCAACAGCCCAACAGGAAGCCACTGAGCATGCTCTGCGCACATAGCAGTGGGGCCAGCTGGAGTAGGGCATTCCTTTCTCTTCCCACCCAGCAGCATGCAGCTACAGGAAAGGAAAGCACCCTGCCGTGGCCGCGTGACAGCTGAGTCATCAGAAAATAACTCTAAACAGTCTGAAAAGACCAATTTGGATGAAGTGTGCTATTAAGAGAAGGTCTATTTAAAACAGGAAGAGAAGGTCTACTTAAACCTTTCCTGGATCTCTAGATAAGTATTCCGATTCCAAACTGTCGGTCATATTTGCTGAGGATGATAGGAATCTAAATCCAAACATAGGAAGAGCATCAGATTGGAGCAGTTTGGACAAGATATTCCAGACTAGGAAAAAGCAGTGATACAGTCAACAATGTTGATTATATTCATAACCTATCCTAGTTACATTAAGAAAAAAGAAAAAGTTTGAAATATTACTCTTTATTCAATCAATCAATCTTTATTTTGGGGTCTCCAAACCATTAAAATACATGCATCTAATTCAGGATAGAAATATTACTCTTTAGTCAGTCCAGGACAGATTAAATACTGCAGGGGAAAGAGGATTTCCCATATTTTCCAGTGTAGCAAGCACGCTCTGGACAATGGTTAAAATCTACTTTAGTGACTGAAAAACAAAGCAGGTGGTACAAAATCATATGTTTTATTAGAAAGGATAAAACAGCCAAGAACCAGGTACTTAAGAGAAACCATTTGTCTGCAGGATTCTTTATATGCATCCTTCAATACACACATTTTGACAACGGACTTTACCAAGATGTGTAACAACTTGCCTCTTTCAGCAAAGATCCTGTTCCTTTGTACCCACTGTACTGGTTGTACCCACTGTTTGCTAGAGATGCCACCAATAAACAGAATGGACCACTAAGCTTCCTTCCAGCCTACCTTGGACTTGCACAGGTGTGTGAGACTTGTCTGGCAATCATAATCCCTTCTTCAGCTCCAAGGCTGAAAAGAGGGCTTAGATTTATCCAGCTGCTGTGTTGCAGAAGAGTCCAGAGTGCTTGAGCCCCCACTTAGGGAAGCACAAAGTAGGAGTGGCATTTGACACTTATTTGACAACAGCACCTGGAACTTCAGCAGGAAAGAGGAAAGGCTATGGAGTGTCCTTGTTTTTTGTTTTGACTGTGGGACCACAGCTGTACAACATCCAAAATAGCAGACAACAAGGAGCAGGCGACCAGTTTTTGATTAGGCTATCAGATTCATCCAGCAATTATGAACTACTTTTGCCACAAGAACTTGAGAGCTCCTGTTCCCAGGCCTACGAGTAGCTTTGAGCCTGCCACCTGGTTAACTACTCCTTCAGATCTTGGCCCACATTTCAAGAAAGTATATGAGAATGTTTAGGCTAGCCCTTTTTACTGCATTGCCAAAACAGTTAATTATTCTTCTTTGTCTGTAAATCCAAACAGCAGCTGATCATAGTCCAACCGGAAGGTCTTTTGAATATACAGTATTCCCTTTGAGCAAGGAAGATTGCGGGCCAACTTTTGTGAGGCAACTTCCTTGTAAGGGGAAAAAAAACCTACAACAGAATCTGACACACCTCTAGATGTTCTGGATGAAAACTTCCAGCCCTCCAGCCATTGGCAACACTAGCTTTGGCTCATGAGCATTGTAGTACAAAGCATCTGGCAGACAGCTGATTGCCCAATAAATGTACTTTTTTGGAAAGTACACTGGTAACATTTTTGCAAGGTTTAGATGCAACAGAAGGCTTCTTTAGCACAAGGGAGGAACCACTTAGTGCTTGGAAATCTGGGTGAATTAAGTAACTACAAGGGCGGTACAACCTACATAGGTCATACTTCCATCCAGGCAAGTGAATAGGAAAGAACAAAGAGCAACATTCCTGTGGCACTTTCAAGATACAGTACAGGGTACATAGATTTTATTAGGTGTAAGCATTTGTGGACTGCAGTCCATTTCTGTAGTACACAAACTTTCATGTGTAACAAATCTGTCCATCTTTGAGATGTCATATGACCCCTGACTGCGCAAAAATCAGGGTTACTACAGTGGAGAAAAAATAAGGACTCCGTTTCCCTCACTCTTGCCTAGACATGCAGTTGTGACACAGCCATCCATGTCTTAAGCTTCTTTTTGGAGTGGTGGTGGATACTTTCATGCTGATCTGGTCATGCAACTAGGATATGCATCCACTGCGGATAGGGAGATCTTTGACAGTAAGAGATTCTACAATTGGACTGATAACAATGATGTCAGAGATTAAGTAATGGAGATTAAGTTATCTTTGCATCTATAGGGGCATTCATTTCCTTGAACCATATATGCAACTAATGATAAACAGGGACATTATCAGATCCCCTACTTGATCAGACAACAAGAATAGCAAACAGTGCAAGTGACCATCTGAAATGCAAATCAGCAGACAGCAATTATCTTCGGTTTGAAGTCCTTCATAAATAAATCAACTAACTGGGCATCGCATATTCTTCTCCAAGTCATTTTTGCCATTTTCCTTCTGATATTCAAACTGCATCTTCTACTAGAGTAGAAAACTGGATCTGCAAGTCTTGTTGAGATTTCCTGATAAATAAAAGTGGCCTAGTAATCTACATCCCGTGAAAGTTTGCCATAAGTTATGATTGTCCTGATGGCACAATAGTTATTAAAGCAATCTTACTTGACACACATATACTCCACCTTCAGAAATCTCACCTTAAGAAAGTGACTTAGCAATATTTTCTTAAAAGTCCTTCTCACAAGCACACATACGTAAGAGTGGTAGAATATACGAGATGGGCGGGATACAATTCGAACAAATAAATAAATAAATACACTTTCAAAATAAAATTAACTGGTATCTACCCTAGGAAAACATTCAGACAAGGGCAGGGGAGCTACTTCAGCCTGCGATCAAGTTCAGTTTCAAAGAAGGAGGGGGGTGAGGCCAAAGGCAAAA